ATGAGAGTTTGCCTTTGAGAGTTGGCCTCACCAGAGGAATGAATACGTGATCTATCCTGGAGGCAAGGATGTCTCGGTGTACCATCTTCGAGTTACCTGGCCACTGTCCCGAAAAGGGCCCAGCTCACCACATGTTCAGTGGTCTCCTTCAGCCAGAGGACTTTCAAAATTTACTTCCACTTGATTGCAGCCTTCCTTCTTATAGACCCAGACTAATTTCTCTGGGGCTTTCTTTGCTAACTGGCTTAGCCATTCCTACCCATAGATCAGTCTAAACAATAAATAAATAAAAACAAATGCTTCTGTTTGAAATTGTTTCCTGGGAAACAAATGTCATTTATAATGGCACCAAACAGGCAACAGATACACAGAATTTTGCTTAACCAAATCAGTGTTGTCCTTAATACGGATAAAGCTTATGTTTGGCACACTCTCTCCATAAGGATTTGCTGAAGTCAATACTTTTGAAAATTCCACATCATTTCTGAATTTTTACCTAATTTCATATAATTACATATTCCCTATGAGATGAGAACTGAGGATAAAATTTTTCAAATGGGAACTAACTACCTAAAAAAAAAACTAACAAAACTATATTCTTCTTATTGGTATCCAAATAGACATATGATTCAGAGTGCCAAGTAATGGACTAAGAACCTCATCTCCTGTATTGATTTATGTTCCTACCATATTGTTGGGAAGAAGTAAAAACTTGCCAACAACTACCCATACTTCCCAGAAATTCTTTCCATATGTAAAAATTTTTCCAAAGAGCATTTTTTTATTCCTGATAATGTGAACGTTACTAAGCCAAGCTGTTGGCACTATGTACTTTCTCCCTTAGAATAAGCTTAAGTGATCAAATGAGCTTCTCAGGCACAATCGAGGGCAGAAGTACCAGAGGAAGCCACACTTAATGGAGAAATTCTAATCCAAACCCCCACAGATTTTCTCTAAGGTAAAAATAATAGGATATACGGTATACCCATTTGAATGGCAAAATCAATGCTGACAATACCAAGTTTTGCAAAGGATACAGATTCACAAAAATCTCTTATTAATTGCCAGTGGGAGTATAAATTGGTACAACTACTTTGGAAAAAAGTTTGGCATTATGTAAGGTGAACAGTTACATTCTCTACGTCCCAGCGATTTCACCCAAGAGAAATTCCTGCACGTGTCCAGGAATTTTCAGTCATCCAGCAAGAGGAAAATACATAAACAAAAAGTGGTACACTCACATCCTGGACTGTTATAAAGCAGCCAAAATAAGTCCCCCCCAAAATCATATGTTGTACAATACCATGTTTTAGAAAGTTAAAAATGGTTGAAATGAAAAACATGTTTTTCTTTTAAATTGTATATAGATGAGATAAAACTAATAAAAAAGAAAGAAACGGTATGGTGACCAGGATGGGATGGGGGAAGGAGCACAAGAAATATGTGCCACATTTTCTCTGAATACATTTCTCCAAACACCAGGCTTCACTTAGCTAAAAAAAAATAGAAAGTGGTCTTTTCAAAAGGGAAGCTAGTGGGCCAGCCGAGTGTCACGCTGGTGAGGGGTTGGCTTGGGACTCCAGTTCTGAGCAGCAGGGCCCCAGTTCGGATCCCACATTAGGGCCAGTGACGCTGCACCCTCTACAGCTATGATGGTGAACAACAGCTCGATCTGGAGCTGGGCTGCTGTAAGTCGCCAGCCATGACGTAGGCTGCAGTGGCGCTGGCCAGCAGCTGGCGTGCACTTTAGTGAGCTGCCATGAGCCGCTGTGAGCCGCCGTGAGCGGCTGTCCAATGGCCGGCGAGCGACTGTCTCACCCAGGAAGAGCACAATAATAATAACAACATGGGCCAGTGAAGCGACGTCCTCCACAACTAGACTGAAGAACAAAAGGACAGCAACTTGTCTGTTCCCCTCCCGCAATTCCCCAATAAAAATCTTTTTTTAAAAAAAAAGGGAAGCTAGCAAGAGAATTGGCTTTGATTTCTTCTCTACCAGCCACATCATCCCAGCCGGTAAGCCTGACTCTGTCTGGCCTATAAGGAAAGGAGATCATGAAGAAAAATTCTTTCACACAGTTTTCAGCTTGCAAGCACCCGAATCTTGCCTGTATTCCAACCACACACACTTGGAGAGCTACTGAGAGCTAGAGGTCTGGGGAGGGTGGGAGGAGATAACACATGCATGGCACTGGCCACAGATGGAGCCCTGGATAACCCACCCTACTGCTGTCAGAATTAGGAGCGACAGGCCTGGAAGGTGCTCAGTTCTTGACACAGACAGGCAGGATGGCCATGCCTGGTCTAGAAGCCAGAATTCAGATCAGAAGCAGGGACAGGAGAGCTGTGTCAAACATCTAAAGTGCTGAGGGGCAGGAGTAGGGGCAGACCACAGTGTTTTCCAGAGGCAGGACTGGAGTGCATGGAAGAAGTGGCAATTTGGGCTTCACCTCAGAAGGGTCTTTTCTGTACATGGAGACTTACTCATCGCCAGTGGCAGTTAGGCCTACAAGCTGGACGCCTCTGAGTAGTGAATCTCACTCATTTGGGTTTAGTTTCCTTTTTTTAGAAAATGGAAATGAGGACATCTTCATGCCTGGCCTCACATGGGACCAAATGAGAGCACAGGGCTGTACAAATGTCAGGAATCATTCATTCCACACAGGCAAGTCAAGCAATAATTCTGCCCACCTTAGAATCTAGCAATGTCCAAAAATGAAACTACAGAGCTGAACTGTGCAAGTACACACACAAGCAACTTGCTTCCCACACCCTTCACTCCCCCCCCCAAGCAGTATTTGTCCCCACAGCCTTATCAGCAAGCAATAAGAATTTTTCTTAGTTACCCAGAGAATCTGCACATTTAAGATTACCTTGAAATGCCAACTGTCTATACAGGCATACCTCGGAGATAATGCAGATTTGGTTGCAGACCACCACAATAAAGTGAGTGTCACAATAAAATGAGTTGTAATCTTTTTGCTGGTGGAGGGTCTTGCCTTCAATGTGTAAAAAAATGCAACATCTGGGAAGTGCCATAAAGCGAAGCACAATAAAACGAGGTATGTGTATACAAGTAAGTTTAAGAAGATGGGACTCCTCTTTGCTCCTTCGATTAAAATCAAACACAAATACATAAGGTCAGGTTTTACTTCCATTAGAACTAGGCCTTCCTGCCACTGTGGGACCCTGTACTCGTAACCACTACCTTGAGTCCTCCAGGTTAGTAGTACTGGTAAAATACAGGTAACTCAGAAATGCTGAACTCAAGGATAAGTGGGCATGAGGACATACATCTGGGACAGGCACAGACTTTGGAGGGCAAAGGCCTGGATCGGAATCTCTCTCCACTGCCTGTTGTCCCCCTGTCAAACCTCAGAACCCCTCATTTGTACAACAGGACAATCTTGGAGCCCGCCTGTCAGTGTGGTTGTGAGGGTGAAATAAATGTATGAACCGTAACAAAATAGGGCGTGTGGGCCACAGCCAACATGACCTATGTGTTACATCCCTTGCCTTTAAGAAAATAGAGTGACATTTATTTATAGCAAATCACTGATGATCTCCTATCATTGTATATTGGTGAAATGTTTACTTACCTCATAGAGTATGGTAAGTGGGATAAAAATACTGTTTGGAAAAGGATCTGTCTTTGCTCAGTCACCTAAGAACACTATATTCTGTGTGATGGGTATGGTGCAGTCGAATAGGCCGAGGGGTGCCAATACACCACGTGAGAAGGGCACATTATAAACACATGTCATCTTCCTACCCTGCCAGGAATTACAGTGATCCCCATTTTGGAGTAGGAACCATCACTTAAGTTCAGTGGAGGTCTGAAATTCTCAGGGGCACCATAGACTCAATCATCCTCTACAAGCTGTGTTCCAAAAAGGCTAGAAAGGACCATGTAAGTCCTAAGGTGGGTGACCTGAAGGGATGCTGCCTGGCTGAGTGAAGTGAGTAAACGGCAAGGCAGGGCCCTCCTATTTGCAAGGACAACCGAGCAGTACTTCTCAGACTGTGGTTGGGAGCAGCATCACCTGGAACTTGTTAAAAATGCCAAAGCTCAGGCCCCTCCTAGATCCACTACATCCAAAACTCAGCGAGGGGACTTGCGGGAAGGGGGTGGGGAGGTGGGGGGTGGCGGAACGCTGGCACTTTGTGTTTCAATGTTTCAACAAGCCCTTCATGTAATTCTGATGCTCCCTCAGGTTTGAGAACCAATGGTACATAGAGTGATCTGAGATCTCAAAGTTTAAACCAACCATTGCCAGGAAACACACTGAGGGAATAGCCAGTAAGAAAGGAGAGAAAACCTTCATATCTTTCTCTTTTCAGCCCTTTCAATGGGCAGAGAGTGTTAGCTATCCCACCACTGGACTTCAATTTTGAATTCCATGCTGCTTCTGGAATAAGAAAGGCCATATGGGATGATTCCTGGGTCTCCACAGAATGCCACAATGGGCTCCTGAAGGTCAGGGGCTGTGTCTGATACTCAACCTGTGAGTTGCTGTGCCCAGCCTAAGGCCTGGCAACCAGCAGGCATCAGGAAAGGTGGGAAAAGAGTGAGCAACCTGAGGGAACAGGCAGTCCTTCCCATGAGTGGGTACCAAGGACTGAACAAGGTTACTGTCCCCCTCAATCCCTAATACAATGATCTTAGCTCCTGAACCAGAAAGCTCCTGAATCAAGGACTTCTGGGGACTGAACTGGCTGGTTGCCCCAGGTCCCACAACTACCAAAGACCAAATCACTCCCTCACTCTACCTCCCTGCTCACACCCTAAACCCAAACTTGCCAGAGGTCATGTCCCCAGGGGGCTCCCCTGCCAGAGGTCAGGGCCCTCAGCCCCGGGAGGTTGGCTGAAGACATTACTTCTCCTGGTAGTAGAGTGCATGTTCCCAAACATCCCTAGACTAGTAGGGATGCCCTCTGTCACCGTTCCTGCAGCATCACCACCCTCCAAACTCAGATGCCCCACCCTGGCACTTCCATACCTGTAGTAAGACAGCAGGCCGTTGCTGAGCACGAACCAGCGGCGCTGGTAGCCCTTCAGGTAATTGGTCCACTTGAGGAGCCAGCCCTTGAAACTGTCCAGAGGCAGCAAGACCATCGGGACAGTGGAGGTCGTGCCAGTCCCTGACATTGGAACCCCAAAAGACATCCTCACCTGTCCTGGTCGCAGAAAAGGCGGGGGCTTTGACACCTGCTGTAACCCTGACTCAAGTTTGGGCACGCTCCCCACTGCTGGCCACAGCGCTGGTGGCTGTTCAGATGAGGCCTTGGTGGAGAGCCCAGCCCCCACACTTGAGCCAAACTCTTGCTGGTGCCCTGACCCCGTCCCCAACACCGGCAGCAGTTCCGATTCTTGTCTGGACTCTGGCTTTGGCGCAGATGTCTTCTCGGACTCAGGCGCGGATCTTGGCACTGGCTCAGAAACGGGCTCCAGCACCTGTTCTGACACCCGCTCCCGCTCGGGATCGGGCACTGGCTGAGACTTGGGCTCCGGCCCAGAGCCGGGCGTGGAAGCGCTCATGCTTGGAGCCGCCGTGTGGCACGATAGGCAGGGGACAACCGTGAACAGCGACGAGAGTCCGCGGGAGCGGCCGCCGCAGCCGCCGCCTCGGCACAGAGCGGCCGCTTTCCCCATAGAGCCAGCCGACCCGAGCGCGGCCGAGCCAGGGGGGAGGGGGCCGCAGGAGGCGGAGGCCGGGGGCGGGGCCGGGGGCGTCACGAGCGCGCAGCGCGAGGCGGGGGCGCGCGCAGGTCCCTCGGCTGCGGCCCCGTGCGCCCCGTGCCGCCTGCGGCGCCCGGCAGTTATCCTGAGTTGGATCCTGGTCCTTCTCTGGCGTCGCCGGCGCCCGGCTCCGGGTCTGGAACTTGTAAGGCGTCCGGCAAACACCTGTGGGGCGAGAGCTTGGCGGGCGGACGACTCGGAAGAGACGGCACGGTTCAGGCCACCATCCCTGCCTGCGCCTCAACCCGTGCCAGGCGCTGGGGGAACAATGATGAATGCAGAGCCCGCCGGCTCCCAGTGCAGCCTCTGCCAGCGGGGCCCTGCGCCGGCGCTCCCCTGTCTGGGGTGGATTCGCTCCCCCGAAACCCAGGAAAGCGGGAGTGGGGAGTGAGTAGGCGGGGAGCAGGTGCTGCGCTCAGAAACCAATTAAATGCGCCCGAAACACAGGGGCCCGGCTAGATGACGCTAAAAACTGTGGAGGACGCCCACCGCCCCCCATAGCAGCCATTACCTGTCTATGGGTCCTTCCCGCGGCGACCTGGCTTGGTGGCCCAGAACAACCGCCGCCTCTATCTCCTGGGCCAGCTGGTCCCTGGTTCATGCCAGGGCACTTCGCTGCAGGTGGCGACATAGTTCAGGCTCTCTCTGTAAACGAATATAGAGAGTTTTTGTCTAAAAGCGGACTCGTAACTTGGACCTCCTGGATATCCCTGGGTAATCTTGGCTGGCGGTTTGTGAAATTCTGCAATAGCCTGCGGAGTTTTACGTCTCTAGGGAGAAAGTTCATAGTTTTCATGGGGTTCCCAAAGGAGCCTGTGACCCCAAAAATGTGAAGCATCACGGATTTTAAACAATCTATCCTAAAGGGAAAGGTCTATAGTTACCACAATAATCGGAAATACTCAGGTTGGATATTGGGCTCCCACCCAGACCCTTCCAGCTCTAGATGTCTGGGCAGGCTCACCTCTGCTCATCCCACGTGCCTTACCCTCTGCTTATGCTCCGTTTGTTACTGGGGCACCTGTCCCTGAATAATGATAATCTTACCTGCAGTTTTACTTTGAGCTCTGGAGTGCAGAGACCTGCCCGTCTTGGTCTACACCATAAGTATTAAGGTGGCTCTCAAACTTCAGTGTGCTGAGTCACCCCAAGGAAAAGTGACTGCCTCCAGGGGCAACTGGAGAATGGAGTGGGATGCTTGCTTTTCACGTTACCCTTTTGAACCTTTGAACTATTTTTAAAAATCATTGCTTAAATCACTGTAGGGAAACATATTAGAAATTTGGTTTTCCATCCCCATCTTCCTAGGATTCTGAGTCAGCAGGTCTGAGGTGGAAGCCAGAAGAATGCATTTTCATGGGCACTCTAGGCGTTTCTGATGTGGGTGGATTGTGGACCACATTTTGATAGACAGTGACGTCGAGGAAAATCTTGGGATTTGGGAGTCAGATCCACTGAGAAAATCCCAACCCAGCCACTCCTAGCATTGAGACCTTCAGCCACCATACTGAGCTTCCTCTTGCTCATCTGTAAAATGAGGATAATAATCTCTACCTCACAGGTTGAGTGTAATAAAAGCATGTGTAAAGCACACTTGGCATAGTAGGTGCTCAGTAAACATGCACCAAGTCCCAACTCAGGAGAGAACACCTTGTCTGAGAAATGACAAAGCTCAGCATATTTGCAAAAAAGTAGTGCAGGAGATGGAACTGAGAGCTGGGTAGACATCATACCATGAGGAATGCGCTTTATCCAACAGGAAGTGGGGCTCCTGGGCACATGGGAGATTTTTCACATTTAAAATGCTAGATTCTACCCCTTGGAGAAATGGCTGATTCCAGGTCTGGGGCAGGAAATATGCAAGATGAGCCTACCTGAGACATTTAGTCATGCCAGAAAGTAAACAGGCTATTCAAGACCACTGTGTGTAAAAGACTCAGAAGCCAACTTAAAGGAGCTCCCACTGGGCAAAGATGGGACAATTTGAGCATCAGAAAGAATAATGGTTACAATGGGCATATATATATATGCATAAATTAATAAAGATCCATAAATTAAACCCACATGTTCCTAAAGTTCCAAAAAGAAAAATACAAAACCAAAAACTTCATTGGTCACCTTTGGAGGTTACTCCAGCACCAATTCGTTATTCTGAAAAATGATAATAAGGGGAGAGAATTAAGTCTGTATCTTATAGTGACCAAAGAGTTTATAAGGGGAAAATCTTGACAGAATTGGCTACGAAATGCAGAAGGAATGATAACATTAGAAGAAAGCACCATCTTTTGGCAACCCCTAATGAAATAATGGACCTAGGCAATGATCATCTAAAGTGATGGGTTTGATGGGGAACTTCATAAAGGCTGAAACAGGCTGACATCTGCTGAATCTACAGATTGATCTTAGCCAAAAATGCAATGACAGGACATTCTGTGCCTCTGGATGTGACCCAGTAGGAAACAAAAAGCACCACCCATGAAGAATTTTCACTTCTCCCCCCACCAAAAAAAAAAATCTAAATTTGAATCTAATCAAGTTGCTAACTTAATCAGTATGAAATAAATACAGGCTATAGAGGAACATGCTAAATGTCCCAAGAAGTCGATCAGTCAAATTCATAAAATAGGAAAATCTATAAGTGTATTCAAATACCTGTTTTAGTCAATAAATACATAGCCTGGGGGAAAAAGATGGGAATGAGAAAATGTTATCAGTTTAACAAATACTTAAAATACATGTCAACCAGGTGCAATATGTGAACCATGTTTGGATCCTGATTCAAACCAACTGTAAAAATTACATTTCAAGGATAATTGGACAATTGAACACAGTCTGGGTTTTAGAAAACATTAAGAAATTACTGTTAATTGTGTTATAAAGATATGTTTATGGGTGAAACTATATATTAGATTTGCTTTAAAATAATTCAACTTTAAAATGAAAGGGGGTAGGGGTGTGGAATAGATGTCAGAAGAAAGGCCGGGTGATGGGTACATGTGCATACATTATATTGTTTTTTGTGTGTTTGAAAATTACTGCTGTTGTGTGTTTGAAAATTACCATAAAATGCTTTTGTTTTACAGATGTTGGGCCTTTGTCATACCTCACCTCCTACCTTTACAACAACCCTATAAGGTCCATTTGTGACACAGTAAAGAATCGCGGCTCAGAGTTAAAGGGGCCTGCCCAGAGTCACACCATGGGCAAATGGGGAGCCAAGAGTCAAACAGAAGGTTTCTAGCCCTAAAGCCTGTCCACCTGTGTAACAGAAGAATAGAGAAACCAGATTTCTGCCCTAGATGCCTACCCCCCCGTCCCCAAAAGAAGCCCTGCCAGGCTGTCCCTGAGGACCTTAGGAGCAGGAAATCTAGAGTGACAAGAAGTGAAGGCCCTTGTGGGCTGGATGGTTCTGGGATAGCTGACCCAACCTTGCACTGCAGAGCTGGTCACAGCCATCACTTCTGCCTGAGGTCAGCCCTGTGCAACGGCAAGGACCCTGTACCCATATGCCTGTCCAAGGTCACATTGCTAACCAGATAAGAATCCAGTCCTTCCAGCCCCTATCGGTCTTCATTCAAAATCCAGACAGCTTGTCTTTTAAGTTTGTGGCCATAGATACAAATGTAGATACTGGTTGGACTCATTTTACCCAGGAAAGGAGATACGTGAGGTAAGAGGGAGGCAGGGGCAGCATGTAGCTAAGAACACAAGTTTGGAAGGAAGGCCTCTGTTCAGACCCCAGGTTGGCCGCTTTCTGGCTGTGTGCCCCTTAGCAAGCACCTTGTAAAATGAGTTGGTGTAGGTTTCCTCTGCTATTTTGCAATTATGTCTGTCTTACCTTTGGTCCCTTTGCTAAATGAGAATATCTGGCTAGAAGCTCTGTGTGAGGCAGGATCATAAATAGCAGAGTTAGGAGGGCTCTATTCTGTGGTGCCAACATTCATACTGCAAGTCCTTGCTGACCTCAGATATTTAATTCAATCTCACTAGAGAAAAGCCAAGCTATTTTCTGCCTGGGAGAAATGTTACCTGCACTTTGCAAACTTGAGTGTAGAGAGGGGTAGGGCAGTGGGTTGGAGCAGTTATCCCCTCTCTTCGCCCCAGGTTGTGTGTGAGTCTGTTTCTTATATGCTGGGTAGATACAAAAGAATACTGTAAAATATGTGTAGGGCATATGAATAATAATACAAAACACCTATGGGCTCATTAACCAGTTTTAGGAATAAAATCCCCCATTTTAGTTCCCCATTCTCTCTCTTACCCTCTTCCATAATCTGTAGACTTTGAGCCCAAACTCTCCTTGGGTTCTTTCAAGCCAACTGGCTCCAACCTCCTCTTTAGTTGGCTGACTGTTCTTGGCTGCTGCTTCCACCTGTTTCATTCATCAAGAAATCTCTGCCTCTTCCCACATGCCAAGCACTTGTTGAAACTGCTCATTCATCAGTGATCCATCTTTATTTAAAATTAAAACATCCCAACATGGCCCTCCCAAGCCCTTTTAACTGCTCTCTTTTGCTCCACAGCATTTGCCACCTTCTAAATGATTTCTTTGGTTTATTTCTGTCTCCCCTTATAAGAATGGAAGCTCCAAGATGGCAAGAATGTGTTAGACTTCATTCACTGTTCTGTCATCGGGGCCTAGAAATTCATATGAACTTCATGAATATTTGTTGAGTAAAGTCTTCTTTCTAGTTCTCCTTGCTGTTGAGTACTTTTTGAATGTTCTCGACTTTTATTTCAGTGGGGTCTCAAGAAAGATGGGAGGCAAACATGGGTGCTGGGCAAACATGGGTGCTGGTCAAACATCGTGAGACGGAAGTCTCAAAGTCAGTGGTTCTTCACGTGTGGGGTATCATAGGCCCCTTTAAGATTATTATGAAACTTAGAGAATATACAAATCAGCTCTTACACCTAAAATTTTACATACAATTTATGAAGACCATAAATTTCATTTTAAGGACCTGTGCTCTTAGAATGTTTCTGAAAGAGGCATAGAAACTATTAATGCAGTGGCCCCAGAGAGGAGGAAGAGGGGGTTTCTCCTTTCATTATATATCCTGTATACTTCAGTTTTGTATATAGTGCATGTATTACAATTTCAGTTTTAGAAACTAATTAAATATTTTAAAGGAACCTGTGTTCTAAGGCCTTGGGGTGATCATAAACTCAAATGTCTTTAGGGACCAGGGAGATGAATGCACTTGGCTTTAGGACAATAGGCAGGGGTGGGGGGGTGGGGGTTGTGTCTTGCAGACCCCACCCAAAATGCTTAAATTCAACAGCATGAAAAACATGGTGTTGATACAACCCACACCCCTGCATTTGGCCCCAGGAGCACTATTAATGAGCAACCTCTGCTTTGCCCTTTGTTAATAGGTTTTGTCTGAAAACCTTTTGGGGGAGTCAGTGA